GACTCTCTGAAAATAATGCTATTTCATTTAGAGCATATTTGTCTTTGCATGTGATTTTGACGGGTTCCACCAATGGGGCAAGGTACACTCACCTTTTCCTGGACATCTGGTTCGTAGTGATTCATAAACACATGCTCACAATATAGCCAGGATGTACACACGATTCTGATGTTAACAGAGCTTTCTTATGAATATGGAAAGGGTTGCATAGTACAGCTTGTAATTATCACATTGACCCACATGCATGTACATGCAGGTGTATACATGCCATACCCCAGGTAAGGTGATACATTTCAACTAAAGGAACGCCTTTGTTTACCGGGTATTGTTAGGGGGAACCTTTGTCATTGTGAACCTTATTACGAGTATTGCGTCACACACGTTTGACAAAGGACGGAATAGTATAAGTTCGGACTAGAAATGTCAAATTGTGAGTTACGAATAACTTTGGGACATTGTCATGAACATGCGAAGTGATCAGAACTATTTAAGTCGAGGATGCGGACGGAAGTGCTATTTCTGACACTTGAAATGACGAGTTGAAATGAACAAATACATTATAATAAATATGTTATCCGTGTCTACGTTTGAGCGATGAGCGACTTTGTCACTCAATAAAATCTGTTTGGTCAAAGATTTGCCAATCTGTAAATATTAGGAGCAGTTGTTATACCGAACATATTTTAACTGATGTCTAAATATCGCAAGTTTTGAAATGAACAGGTCTAAAATATTGTTTATTATGACCACGTCTGATGTAACGCTTTATTTTTACAGGTTTTGCTAAATTCTTGAATTGTACATATCTCGTGATAGAAAATGGGACCTTCTCATGCCTTTTCATGTAAAAAAGAACAGACATGTTTTTCAAATTGGACAGGAAACAACAACTGGGCCCGTCAGTGCAAAATGGGTATATAGGTCTTGCAAAACAGATGTACATGTGTAATTATTATGCATGTTCACGTTTTGACTCGACGGCATGCTAATCACGACACAAATGTTGGGGATACAGGATGCATTTGCTTTGTTTCTACTGTGAATACAGAATAAGAGTGGGAATCTCACATCAGTATCGTTCAGCTGCATGATCCACATCCAGCTCACAGTTTCATGCATAACGACTGTTATTATCTTACATTATCTGTTATTGTTAGGGCCCGTGAACACCCGGGTTAGAACTGATCTTCAGTAACCGATGCTTGTCGTAAGAGGCAACTAACAGGATCGGGTGGTCAGGCCCTCTGACTTGGTTGACGCATGTCATCGCATCCCATTTGCGTAGATCGATGCTCATGCTGTTGATCACTGAATTGTCTGGTCCAGACTCGATTATTTACAGACCGCCGCTATGTAGCGAGAATATTGCTGAGTGCGGCGTAAAACTAAAGTCACTTACTCACTCATTGTTAGCTTTGCTATCAGCCGTATTTTATTACACTATCAGCGATAAACAGAAGTGAAATTTTGCTTTTTGTGTGCATAAAACATTATATATTGTCAAAAGCACGTCATTGGGACCACAATGGGATGTCATTGAAACACAAAAATGTGACGTCACTGAAGACAATTTGCATAGTTTCTTGAATATTACCATAAGCAATGTTTTAGTGATTATAAGTCAAAGATAATATTCCGGTAGAATTTCGAATTCGGACGAATTGCAACGGATTGTGACCGCCATGGACACATTGAATTCATTTAGACCGCTCCGTCGTACGTGTTTCCCAAACATTTTAAAATATGAAAAAAACGTTTTGTCACACAAAAGCTAGGTTACCTCAGAGCGTGATATCATCGCATCAACAATGTTCCCTGTTCTCTTTCATTAAATACTGTTTTCTAAGAACACTTAAGAGAACATATTTGCTGACGCGATCTGTCGCATAACCTTCATCTAACAGTGCACTGATAGTTATCAACGTTCCATCCTCGCTGCTAATATAACACATTTGTAAAATCTATTGTTTAGTTTTGCAGTTTGTATTGAATAAAAATCTTGCTACCTTTCTGCATGCACAATGTTGAGCACACCCTTTGCCAGCCTATTGTCTTTACAACACAAGCACATTTACAACTTTCCCGTAACAAAGCAGTCCAAAATGGCATTTTAACATACCTAATACATGTTGTTTTACATGAACAAAATGAAATACATCCTGGCATCAAACAGATTTCGGTTCATTATCATGCAATAATTCCATTAGTTCTTCATTGACATGAACCATGAACAAATGTTCAGGCATGTTAAGACCAATGCATGCTACACTAAACCAGACCACTTTTATGCCAAAGGCTTGCTTTGAAACAGAGACTTCGTGTGAGGAGGTTCTTCATTACACGTAAGACGCCCGGAAATGTTCAAATAGTGAAATAATGATGAAAGAAAAGCAGCCATAAAATTATATAACTATGTTTTATTTATATATTATCAAATGTTCATATACGTTAACGTATCATTTGTATAATGGACAATTCATTTCTGGTTAATTATTCATCTAAAATATACTTAATAATTATATATTTCATTTAGATTAGCATTTTTAACCAAAACAAGTCATGTACTGATATTTGATAACCAATATGATTTCTTATCTTATGATATCATACACACTCTGGAGTAACGTAGTGCTAATATTGTTTGTAGGATACAGTTTGCATCTTAGAAATGTATCAAAACCAAAATCATGTCACGTGTAGAGATTACCAAAAGAGATTGCAGAGTTTGAAATATTTGACAATATAATGGTGCTTCACATTGTTCAGTTCTATATTTTACGGTATGACCTATGTTATGCTGCCCTCGAACACCCCACAAAATGTAATCAATACACTACATAACTTACATGTAATAGCACGCTGATACGTACAAGAGAATGTAATCATTCCTCTCAGGATTTCGCTATTCTTTTCCAGAATTCCTATATTAAGGCATGTATGGCAAATTGTGAAATTGTTCTTCTTTGAAATCACTATGTGAAGACAATTATGGTAAACTGGCAACTTATTCTTCTTTGAAATCTCTATATGAAGACAAGTATGGTAAACTGAAATTGTTCTTCTCTGAAATCCCTATATGAAGACAAGACTGGCAACTTATTCTCCTTTGAAATACCTTGGGATACTAAAACCTAACTGCCCCCTGACCATCTCCGAAATTTCTGTTGCAATACAAGGATGGTATAATAGTAATCTATTTTCTAGCCTAATGTTTTAGATTAACAAATGAGACACACGCTATGAACGTGGAAACGCTGACCCCTGTCTTGACTAAAGGCATACATTTACACAACGACGCCAAATTACCTCGTGTCACCTGTGATTAATACTGCTCTACACGGGAACATTGAAGTGCGTGTACAGCTATGTTCATTGCAGTAAAATGCATGTTGGCACTATGTAAACGCAGTGACATGTACATTTTCAGACAGCGTGTGAGTACAAGAGTCAGTCTGTTACCTGGTTACCTTAACATTGTGTATTATGTTTATTTGTCGAGAATATTATATCATAGTGCCTACTCAGCTCGTCACGTTTATCTGCATAGGGTTGAGTTTTCGCTCGTGCTATGGTCTTTCTCATAACAAAAGTACGTGCGTTCACGCATTGTACGCGTGGACAAAGATATCTATTCCATTTCCAAATTTAACAGATTTGCTTCAAACTCCAAAGAATTTACATACATACATATATATATATATATGTAATAAAAAAGAAATCATAACATTCTGGAGCGGTTTCTATGCAATCATTCTAGAGTGACGTGTCTAGAATTTTGACAGTTAAAAGAGCATTCTTAGATGTCGTTCATATTTAATATGTGTTCTTCAATCTTCAACAATATCAATATCTAGATTTATCGTATCACTCTTTGAACAAACTGAAATCATGTTCTACATCTTAAAATAATTTTTAATGGAGAAAATGTTTTTGAAGAAAAAGGCATTCTGTTTTTATTTATCTATGTGATATTTATGACTGAACACCTGTACTATTTTGGACAGTTTGTGCGTATATATATATATAGATAGATAGATACAGATATAGATATATATATCTTACTCATGATCAGTTATAACGTTTTGGCCCAAAATGAATTATTTTAAGATGTAGAACATGATTTCAGTTTGTTCAAAGAGTGATACGATCCATCTAGATATTGATATGAATGACATCTAAGAATGCTCTTTTAACTGTCAGAATTCCAGACACGTCACTCTAAAATGATTGCATAGAAACCGTTTCAGAATGTTATGATTTGTATGTATGCCCCAGAAGTATGACCATTTAATATACACCAGTGTTAGTGTTGTGTACAACCAGGAAAGTCTTGAAATTAATCATACTCCGAGCTAGATTAATGCCAGGTGTTGCTGGAATATATCAAATCATTCTACTAATGTCAGCTGTTGCTGGAAGGTATAAGCTCAGGTTTAAAGGAGACATGTGATAATACAAAACTATAATTCCCATGTAAATTGCAGCATTCATTGAGTAACACGCGTCAACCCTATTCTGCTACCATTACCAAGATTTGTTTCCGCGTTTACTTCATTAATCAACCTTTGTTTTTCATTTCATTATGTCAACTGTAGTCAAAACAAAATAAATTCATTCAAGAACGTAATACAAAATATTTCATGTGTTACGTCCAAGTTCAGAAGTCATGATGATTAATGGCCTTTTGATATTTAAGTAAGAACCCACATTTTGAGTTTTATTTTCCATCTTTACCTCTCATACATTATGAAATAGTACACGTAAAGCATCGAGACATCGATCATGAATTGAATTATCGCTCTTTAAAATAACATGTTTGAACAGCACTTATCGATAATTATTATGTAATCCTCACACCTGATAAGGAGAACCCATAAAGGTCATTGAACGACAGTTCGATCTTGAGCAGCCCAAAAATCAATAGACGAACGGCGAAGCAGAAATGAGACCGAATGTGGGTCAACCGCGATATATATATTTATATACACTGTACTGTTTGTTGGATCAGCTGATAGCTCGTATGGTAGGTGTATTTTATATTTATATACACATTGCTGGATCTCATTGCAGAATGACGGTGTTGCAAATGAGTGATATTTTAATACAGTTGATGATACAAATTATTTGCGTGTAACAAAGCCTTGGAGATTTTCTGAACTTTGTGTGTCGCATCTTAACCAAAGAAAGTGTTATGGAAACAGCGCACATTGTGAGACGGGGTTTACGCGATGAAGATACACCACAGTGAGGTAAACAGTGTCTCTATTGTTTCTTGTATTGCTGCATAGATTAAGCGTATTGTTCACCTCCAACCATACACATGTATTTTAAAGAAAACCCAAGTAAATGGGTTTTAAAGTGCGAATTAATTCTCCTTTATCAGCCGCGTGTCCCGGTCTGACATTGAGAGGCATGTCAACAGCTTCTTTCAAGTATATGAGTTAAGCATAAACGCATGTAACGAGAAACTTTTGTTGAATGAGTCTGTGTTCGTTGTATACACCGTTAGATATGCAAGTATTAGCACTCCTATTTCGTAAAACTATGCCGATAAATATAATCTTATCGCGGCTATTTTAAAAATGGAGCATATAGACCCATAATGTACAATCATACCGTCCACTGTGTTTACACACAAGCATTCTTGTCAGCTTCCTCCAGACCGTATCATATTTCAATATATTCATGAATGTAGGAGTTATATATGCATAATCTGCAGTAGCATTATGTTGCACTGTAATGCATACTTGTTGATAACTAGTGCATTTCCATGCATATGTTATTTTTAATTTTTCACAATAACACACACATATAAATACTTGAATAGTCGACGCCATATGTAGATTATGCTCTTGACTATCGTAACTTTTGCTATAATTTAGCAATATTTCTTTAAAAAGTGTTTATTGCTGTACGAATTGCCCTGTATCAACCTGCTATACTGAACACTCAGTAGTCAAACATTCTCTTTAAACCTAAATGTCTTCTGAAACATACATCTGTTACAGACAGGGTTCGATTTACCGCTTGTTTGACGTCAGAATCATAGTGGAGTATATGCAGGCACATAACATCAGTTTATACAGGTGTCAGTATATTCAGGTGTGATATGTAACAATTCAGTGTTATGACATATTTTCAACTTTGCATTCTTGTAATAACATCTAGAGTAAAACCCACTCCTTGTATTTCTAAGCGACCAGATGTCCTTATGCCAGTGAAATTATCAAATATGTATTCTAATAATATACATATAATTTGAAACTCCAAGCAAATGTTCAAATCCGAATAGCTTTATAGTCTAGTACTTTGTGTTAATCTGACTATTGATGGACATACAGAATGGTCGGGGCTGAGTCACAGTGCTATATCGGAGTGGGGAATATGTGTTAAACTGCGACATTTTGTAAAATGTAAACCAGTAAAGGACGTAAGGCAGGGGTGGTTTATGCACGCACTTGAACGTCGACATACGAGTTAAACCATCTTACTTAAACCCGATTTTACTAAATGCCCCCTCACCTCATCCCACCTGAGTAGCTCCGAGTTCAGAGATCGGCTTGTTAATGGCTTAAGGAGGAACCGTGAATGTCTGACTGAGAGCTAATCGAGTACATAGTCACTACATAGTTTGGTGCAGTCAGGAAATCCCAAGATGTCAACAAACTTTACGCAATTTGTCACTCAGTGTTTCGATGAAATACACAAATATACATATATATATATATATATATATATATGGTTGTGTGTACATATATGTGTGCATATATATGTTTGTGTGTAGATGTATGTGTGCATATATATGGTTGTGTGCGCATGCATGTGTGTATATATATATGGTTGTGTGTACATGCATGTATATACATATATATATATGGTTGTGTGTACATGTATGTGTGTATATGTATGATTGTTTGTACATGTATGTGTGTGTATATTTTGTGCATATGTATGTGTATATGTATGGTGTGTGTATATGTATGTGAGAATATATATGGTTGTGCGTATATGCGTGTATGTATGTATGTATGTATGTATGTATGTATGTATGTATGTATGTATGTATGTATGTATGTATGTATGTATGTATGTATGTATGTATGTATGTATGTATATGTGTGTGATATATGTATGTGTCTACATCATGTGTATATGTGTGTCTATACATGCATATGTATGAGTAGGTATATGTGTGTATATATAGATATAAGTGTGTGTATATATGCAATGATAACCTGCTTTCTGCGGATGTGTTACAAATAATGTTGTAGACAGAATAATGATAGTGCCCTGCCAGTTTGTGAGGTATTGATCACTTCCTCGTTCCGCTATAGTCTCAGCTTGTATCGATCTATCGACGAGGCTCCGTCTAGCTAGATAACGGCTGGAGGCTGCAATGCATGTGTAGCATGTGGCTAGACCGATTTCCAGCTATTTATAGCTTATCATTACCTGGGACATGAAGTGATGACTGCTGACATGAATAGAGGCTGGGTCACACTGCACCGGGTCATCCAGGTCATTCAGGCTTCCCTCCACATCGAAATGTTGACATTTTATCAGCAATGGGGTTGCATAATTATTTATCCATCAGGATTCAGTCGTATCCGAAACGAAAGTTTTAAGGGTTTTGAAATGGGATGTTTCTCTCGACTGTACGGTGGTATTGCGATAAACGTATTAAGATAGCATGCCTGTAGATGATGATAGGGTGATAGTGATGACAGCTGGCTTTATTGATCAGACATCGGAAGGTTAACAGTTTTCTCTTTCCTTGTAGTCGATGTACCTTTGTCACTGGATGCTAGGCAACTAATTATATATATTATATATATATATATATATATATATATATATATATATATATATATATATATATATATATATATATCTATATATCTAGTTTTTATACCTTTATTACATTTCTGGTCTAGTTTTTATTTTATTACATTTCATAGTTTTGTTAGAGATGTGTATAAAATGAACATTTAAATTCACTGATGGATTGCTTTTTGAGATATTTATGACATGAGTCAGATATATATGACATGAGTCAGATATATATCTCGCGATGATAGGCACGTGTGCATGGAATGCATTATGGCTCAGTGCCCTAGTGCCCTCGAGCCACTCTCATATAAAATATCTTGTAAAAGATTCAGTCTACTCCTAAATCACATAAAATGCGACATTAATTACAAATTTATCACCCTGAGAGACCTCCTCCTGGTAATTTATAGCACATAAATTATACCTTAAAAACTATAAACAATCACCGACATTTTATCACGATGATTAGTTTCATACGAGCTACCTGCAAATACAGCGTCACAAGGAGATAATGTATTACTTAAACGTCCTTGGTTCGAATCCCAAACATCACGTGTGCGTTGGTTTCTCTAATGTCGTAGCGTCAACGACCTTGGGTTAAACTGGAACAATGTGAGTTTTCACTGAAATGTTGCCAAAATTCCACTTGCCTAACTGCTTGTTATAGTGTCAGTTAACGTTGGTCCATGACACTGGTGAAGTATCTTAGATCACTGATCATAAATCATAGCAATCATTACTCTAGACTTTGTGAGTGAGTGAGTGAGTGAGTTTAGTTTTACGCCGCACTCAGCAATATTCCAGCTATATGGCGGCGGTCTGTAAATAATCGAGTTTGGACCAGACACTCCAGTGATCATCGATGAGCATCGATCTGCGCAATTTGGAACCGATGACATGTGTCAACCAAGTCAGCGAGCCTGACCACCCGATCCCGTTAGTCGCCTCTTACGACAAGCATGGATTACCCAAGGCCAATATTCTAACCGGGAGCAATATCCTGGAAGAGGGTGGAGATCTCACACTGAACCCTTTAAGGTTGCACGAAACCAAATATTTCCCGATTGACTTCTATAGTAACGTTATATATACTCATGGAAACAAATAAGGGAACACATGAAAGTACAAGTGTTCCTTTATTCTTTTCCAGGTTTCTTCACAAGGTATGCATTGCACTGTGAGATTCTGGAAATAAATAAAGGATCACTTGTACTTTCAGGTGTTTCCTTATTCGTTTCTATGAGTATATATTTTCAAAAAATTAACTAAGATATCAACATCTATTACATGTACATGTGTGCATAGTCTGGCCTTGAAAAGCAATGCAAATATATAACATGAAGACCTCAGGCGGTGCCTTTTCCGAAAAGAAGAAGCAACAGACCTACCCCAGTTCCGCACAAAATGTCAACTACTTAATAAATACCTGTGGTCATATTCAGTAAAAGTCATCAGTAGAAATGCACTAAATATTATAAAATAATATCAGTTTTGATTACTGGTTGGATGTACAATTTATCAGCCAATAACAACTGTCAGATGATTCAGTCTGCACTGAAGGTTCGGGAGGATAAGTGCTTGTTAAAATACGGATTCTTATTTGGTGTAGTGTAACCTTAAGCAGGAGTGATATGATTGACGATATTAAATATGTGCTGAACGTGAATAACATATGTGTGTATATTCCAACATATTTATATGTATCCATCTGTTCAAATTATCTTGCTCAGGACTTGGGCCCCGTTTCACAAAGCTCACTAAGATCTCGTAACTTTCCTCGTAACATTCCTACCTCCTATACTGTAACATTGACTTACGATAGTCTTAGCGCTACGAGCGTTTTGTGAAACGGGACCCTGGACCTCGGCCTCTGAGTCAAATTAAAACACTGATATTGTTAAATGTCATTCATCAGTTGAAGCCATTCTATTCAGTAGCCAGACCACCGCCTTTGAGCCTGATGAAGGCACTACGACGCCTTGTCGCCCAGTTTCGCCACTCATACCATGACATCCTGGTCAAAACACAAGCCACAGCAGCCGCAGCCGTCGCGCCAACCGATGTCGTTACCAAAGACGTCAAGCCCTACGAGACCATACCTGGGCCAAAAGGAATATGCAACTGGACCCGATTTGGCGCGATGCTGTATTTCAAACCATTCAGTAGGTAGCCAATATTTAATACACACCTTCGACATTCAAACAGAGTGCATGGTTATAGCGAAACCTATTTTCTAAGTTTAGACAGACGTATTGATTGATTGATTGAGTTTAGTTAAATGCGGCTTTTAGCAATATTCCAACAATATCACGGCGGGAGACACCACAAATGGCCTTCATGTATTGTACTCAGGTGGGGATTTGAACCCGGTCTTAGGCGTGACGAGCGAACGCTTTAACCACCAGGCTACCCCACCGCCCCTTAGTCAGAAGAAAAGGAAACAAGCATAAATTGACCGAATATGTGTCAGACACTATTGTTTGCTTGCATAGTGTCTCAGGAATCTAACAGTAAGTGTCTCGTAAGGGTTAATATCAGGTCTCAAGGCAAGACTCAGTAACAGATTCAGAGTAGTGTTTCAAATCAGAAGTAGTAAGACAGTTGTCGATCCCCAACATCTAAGTACTGCTTGTTACTTAAGTCTCCGATATTACAAAAATACATTGCGTGACCAGATCACGACGTCAACAGAGACCACCCCACCCCGCCATCTCCTTCCGTCATGCCCCCAGTATACACACTTAAGTTCACCCCCAACATGCCCCCGAGGCACAACACAACACAACACACACACACACACACACACACACACACACACACACACACACACACACACACACACACACACACACACACACACACACACTTACTTACTTACTTCTGCCTCCTGCACAGCACACACGATCTCCATCCACCCACTTCCAAATTCCAATCCTCCAAAATCCACCGTGTTTGCATTGCCCCCACATCTTGTCTTATGTACGCCATGAAATGCCCCACTTTGCTGAAGTAAAGCTGCCTAAAGGTGTACATATTTAAAATCAGAATGATGTGTCTTACAGCAAATTTCGAGCCTTCTACAATCCACTTGTTGTTTGATCACCTCCACGACAAGTACGGTCCCGTGGTCAAAGCTCGAATGGGTAAATGGACAGTTTATATAGAGGATCCCGCAGATATAGAAACTGTCTTTAGAAACGAGGGACGCATGCCCATACGACCACTTCCGCATCTGCATGTGCACTACAGCAAAACCAGAGGGATAATACCAGGCTTGGCGTCAATGTAAGTTACAAATAATCTGTTGTAGTATTTTGTACATAAATATATTCAGCATAACTCATGTTTGTACATTTATAATGTTTAAACCAATACGTAGATACATGGTAAAACGTTTTGGGTTTCCGAATCTCTTTTGCATGAGTTGCACTGAAAATCGAAGTTCGAAATGCTTAGGTATAAACCAGAAGGTACTGAGTACCCGACATGACATTCATAAACTGACACGTGATAACTCGAATATCATTAAAACGATGTATGCTTCAACGCCAGAATCCTCTTCGGGTCTCTAGTCTACAATACACATCCGGGGAAAGAAAGCATATACTGATATCTGAAGCTCGAAGGAATGAAAAAAGAAATGCTGATGGAATGGCCATGTGTTTCATACGAGTACCATAGTGGTGTTTTGGACCTTACATTTTTCATTTGCATAGTGACGTCTGTGGTATACAAACCATTAACTATCAGGGTATAGTAACGTTTGTGGTGTACAAACCATTAACGTCCAGGGTATAGTAACGTTTGTGGTATACAAACCATTAACGTCCAGGGTATAGTAACGTTTGTAGTGTACAAACCATTAACTATCAGGGTATAGTAACGTTTGTGGTGTACAAACAATTAGCGTCCAGGGTATAGTAAGGTTTGTGGTATACAAACCATTAACGTCCAGGGTATAGTAACGTTTGTGGTATACAAACCATTAACGTCCAGGGTATAGTAACGTTTGTGGTGTACAAACCATTAACGTCCAGGGTATAGTAAGGTTTGTGGTGTACAAACCATTAACGTCCAGGGTATAGTAAGGTTTGTGGTATACAAACCATTAACGTCCAGGGTATAGTAACGTTTGTGGTGTACAAACAATTAGCGTCCAGGGTATAGTAAGGTTTGTGGTGTACAAACAATTAGCGTTCAGGGTATTAACTATCAGTATAGTAACGTTTGTGGTGTACAAACAATTAGCGTTCAGGGTATAGGTTTGTGGTGTACAAACAATTAGCGTTCAGGGTATAGTAACGTTTGTGGTATACAAACCATTAACTATCAGGGTATAGTAACGTTTGTGGTGTACAAACAATTAGCGTTCAGGGTATAGTAAGGTTTGTGGTGTACAAACAATTAGCGTTCAGGGTATAGTAACGTTTGTGGTATACAAACCATTAACTATCAGGGTATAGTAACGTTTGTGGTGTACAAACCAATAGCGTTCAGGATATAGTAAGGTTTGTGGTATACAAACCATTAACTATCAGGGTATAGTAAGGTTTGTGGTGTTCAAACCATTAACTATCAGGGTATAGCAACGTTTGTGGTGTACAAACCATTAACGTCCAGGGTATAGTAACGTTTGTGGTGTACAAACCATTAACGTCCAGGGTATAGCAACGTTTGTGGTGTACAAACCATTAACGTCCAGGGTATAGTAAAGTTTGTGGTGTACAAACCATTAACGTTCAGGGTATAGTAAGGTTTGTGGTATACAAACCATTAACGTCCAGGGTATAGTAAGGTTTGTGGTGTACAAACCATTAACGTTCAGGGTATAGTAAGGTTTGTGGTATACAAACCATTAACGTTCAAGGTATAGTAAGGTTTGTGGTGTACAAACCATTAACGTTCAGGGTATAGTAAGGTTTGTGGTGTACAAACCATTAACGTTCAGAGTATAATAAGGTTTGTGGAGTACAAACCATTAGCGTTCAGGATATAGTAAGGTTTGAACGTTCAGGATATAGTAACGTTTGTGGTGTAGAAACCATTAACGTCCAGGGTATAGTAACGTTAACGTATGGAGGGATGGAAATATGGATAACACATGATATCAAGGACCTAGATGTAATGAGGTTTCACTGTGATGTAATTCCAGTACATGTTAACCTCACACTTTCTAAACAATTTAGGCAAAATGAAGAGTGGTACACCCTCAGAAAGGCTGTGAATGCCAAGTTAATGAAGCCAAACTCTGCGCTTCGTTACCTGGATGCGCAGAACGAAGTCGCTGATGATCTTGTACGGAAACTGACTCATCACAACTTTACTCCAGACGAGTTGCAAACTGTCTTCTCCAAGTATGCGTCCGAAAGTAGGTAATACATGGAGTGTATAAGTCGAATTTTCGATGTACACATGGCAGTTCTTTTGCACAGTGACCATTTGTCAGATAATAATACATTAGTACATTTATACTCCACACCGACAGCATGCTCATAGTGCAGATAGTTCATTATCACCCGGGATAACCCAAGCTGCCTATGAGGTTATAGTCACATGACTGATCCCACCGGGTACCCATTTTCTGATGGGTTAATAGAGGCAAACTCACTTGCCTAACCACATGTATCACATGTGCTGACTGATGCTTAGGGATTACATATTCCTTGGATGAAGATGCCTTGTTCTTAACTTTCTGTTAAGCAAACGTGCTAAACATAATCCAGTAACGAAATTAGCCTAACGCTTAGTCTCTGAATAGCTCTAATTCTGATGTAAACAAACAGTTCCTTTCAAATTGAGAAGGGTGATTCAGCGGAAATCAAGACTTGCTTCATTACGGCCTTCGGCATTGCAGAAAGGGCTATGTAGAAGGGGAAATAAGTAATGGTGTTCAGGGACTGTGAGACAGACTATATAAAGTAGGATGTGGTGTTTTCACATACGCTAACCATTGTTTTATTACCGTTTCAGGTATTTGCGTTGTTGCATTCAACAAGCGACAGGGCCTTTTGGATTCAGACATGGACAAACAAGTCGATGAATTCTTCAATAACATTGGACTTTTTTTCGACTTGTTTATGAAAGGTTTCCATGCACCTCCTTTGTATTTTGGACTGTTCGAGACCCCCCTGTACAAGCAGTATTCAAAGGTTGTGGATTACATCAGAGAGTAGGTACTTCACCGTTGTCCGCCATTTCCATCAGTACAATGACCCGCATCAGTTAGGAAGCCCTTCTTTGAGGACAGGGGCGGTGGGGTAGACTTGTGGTTAAAGCGTTCGCTCGTCACGGCGAAGACCCGAGTTCGATTCCCCACATGGGTACAATGTGTGAAGCCCATTTCTGGTATCCCCCGCCGTGATATTGCTGGAATATTGCTAAAAGAGGCGCAAAACTAAACTCACTCACTCACTCACTCACTCTTTGAGGACATTGGAACTTGTTCACATATATACACAGTGCCAATACTCCACATATTATTCAAATCCAATTAATCGTGTAGGTATATTGGTTCCTAGCAGTCTGCTTGTGTGCTTGTAGTATTAAGTGATTACATGGATCGGGCGGCCATGCTTGGGTCTTTGTATCCATATGCTGTCAATCACTGGATTGTGTTGCAAACAGACAAACAACATTATAATTAGTACATTCTGACTTTATCACGACGAAGGCACCGCCTTAATCCAAATTGTATATGGCATTCCTGGAAAGTCTGACAGGGTTTCGAGGTTGTATTGTCATGACAATGGTTGCGTCGAACATTTGTATTATGGTCAGCATGACCAGTGTAACCGTTGAATAGTTACAAAATTTTTTTTCCTAGTTTATTTTTATAGATTTACCAAAAAATTCAACTTGCGGACAATCTTACTTCTTTCCTTGACACTTGCAATATATTTTGGTCGAAATGCATATATAACGAACTATGGTTGTAGTGAACTAAAATTAGTGGTCCTTTGAGTTCGTTATAACCGTGGTTTACTTGTATAATTCACTTAGTATCACCTGTAACATGTGTGTACAAGATTGTGTCGGTGGAATGAAGACATAGCGAGATCAGTAACAGATATTGGTATGTATGTTGCCGATTTAGGTATATTGAAATCATTTGTCGTTTTCAGACGGGTCGGTGTTTTACTTTGTGAGGCAATTGAGGATTTGAAACAGAAGGAGAAGATGGGTCTGCTGAATGAAGAAGAACCCAACTTCCTATTGTCGCTGCTTGGCCATGGGACATTCGGCATGGCGGAGATTGAGATGATCGTCCTGGACCTGTTTATAGCCGGAACAGATTCAGTGAGTTGTTCAAAACTTCAGTAGACTGTGGTTTAGCCTAGTGGATAAAACGTTCACTCATCACACCCACAGGCCCTCGTGTCTTTGCGAGGATTAAATATTTTTTTACTCAAAATGCTTCCCAGTACAATATATCATGATGTATTGTACTGAGATACATTTTGAGTCGGGGGTCATCACAAAAACAATATTTTTTTAAATCTTTAATCGCAAAGACACGAGAGCCTGTGATCACACTGGGTTGTAAAAATGTGTGAAACCCATTTTGGTGCCGAGATATTTCTGCAATATCTCTAAAACTCACTTCAATAGAAAATACATTCATTTTTTTATTACCTATTTATAGTTTATCGTTGGGTAATTTCGTAACAATACTTCAGCAAAACAGATGTTAATTCGCACTTTCAAGGTAGCATATTCTCTTAACAATACCTTGAGCATATTGATCTGTATCAACATATTTTCGGTATGAATAAATAGATAAAACGGATGATGGGCTTGAGTCTCTCAGCATCACCCGAATGGTCCACCAAATTAATTAACAAATTCAGCTTCCACCACTTGAAAAACTTCTGACACTACAAATGTCAATTATTGTACATACTACACAAAAACGTTAAAGAACATCACACTCACATAATGCCACATTACAGACGTTAATCGGCCATGTCCTTACAGACTGAACATGTCATATGGCTTCCTCTAAGTGAATACTCATGTATTGATTCCTCAGACCGCAAAGAACCTCCAGGTGTTTCTGTACAACATTGCCCGGCACCCCGAGGAACAACAAAAACTCTTTGAAGAGATACACTCTGTAATGGGAGACTCAGGCCCTCTTACAGAAGACCATTTGGGGAAGCTTGGCTACCTGAAGGCCTGTCTCAAGGAGTCCTTCAGGTAGGTATAAGTTCAATAGATGACCTATGTAAAATGAAACATAAAGGAACGAAAGGATCGTACTTGGTGCTTCAAACGTTCTCAACTTGACCCAAAAGCACCATAAAACTGTTTGATTATATCAGTTGAGAGTAAGTTTTAGAGTTGAGTAGAATATATTCGTCCGTACCACCCCACCTTCTCTCACTCTCTCTCTCTCTCTCTCTTCTCTCTCTCTCTCTCTCTCTCTCTCTCTCTGTTTCTCTCTGTTTATGTGTGTGTGTGTGTGTGTGTGTGTGTGTGTGTGTGTGTGTGTGTGTGTGTGTGTGTGTGTGTGTGTGTGTGTGTGTGTGTGTGTAATGTATCTGTATATCTCTATGTCTCTGTGTGTGTGTGTCACTCTCTCTATCCCTGTGAGATAGACGTGATCGTCAAACTAAAACCTGTGTGCTTGTACATGATTGTTGCAGGTTCGTGTATCCTACCGCGTCTGGCACTGGTCGATTCATCCCGAAAGACTTGGTGTTGGGTGGCTACAATGTCCCGGCCGGGGTAAGTTGGTAAAATCTTCGGGAATTAGCCAGGTTAGAATAGTCGCAGCAACATAGCCATGCCACTAGAGGTCATTAGGTTGGGCTCGATTACTTGGCTTTTGGGGTGTCGTACTCCAACAACGTGGGACGTTGCTCATGGTATCGATCACTGGATTGTCTGGTCAGGAACTAAGTTTTAATTGACTTCGCTATGTAGCTGGAATATTGCAGAGTGCAGGTTTAAACAACAAACAATAAAAATGTTGCTTGGTGACCGCAAAGTAAAGCAAACCTACACACGCACGCACACACACCACTAGCACCAGGTCTGTAACCGGAATTGTTTAACACAAACAAAGTCATCCATCACCACTGGGACTAGGGCTTGGTCATTGCTGATTGTTGCCTGATTGCGTTGCTTGGATTGACAACGTTATATCCTGTTCGTGTTCACCAAAATGGTAAACGTTCAACCAGACCTGCATCACTTCAGGCTTTAACTGACACACCATGATTAAACTAAAATACTGTACCAAACCCATTCGACAGACTTTAGTGAGTACCTGGCTTACCAGTTCATAGATTTTCCAGCACAGGCTTCCACAGCAAGCATTCTGCAGTACCCGGAACAGTCTGCATCCTGCAGTATCCGGAATAGTCTGCATTCTGCAGTATCCGGAACAGTCTGCATTCTGCAGTATCCGGAATAGTCTGCATTCTGCAGCATCTGGAACAGTCTGCAGTATGCAGTATGCATGTATAGTGAACCCCCTTCTCTGCTGCAGACGCTGATTGTGATGAGTAACCAGCGGACAGTGAGAAACAAGAAATATTTTGATCGTCCTGATGAGTTTATCCCTGAACGCTGGCTCCGAGATGAACATGGCAACAGACAACGCATGATCCCACCCATGACTCTGCTGCCCTTTGGATTCGGACCCAGAAACTGTCTGGGGAGGCGGTTTGCTGAGCAGGAGATATATCTGGCGGCTGTAAAGGTGTGTGAAATGATTTTCTGTATAAAAAATTAGTGAGACTTGCTTTGCCCATTCTTGTTTTATTTATTTACATGTTGCCTAAGATACTAGTAGTACGGAGGGTTACATCAAACCATGAAGAGCTTAGTTGTCAGGCTGAATTTCAGATTCCTCCCAATTAATGTTGCAGAAAGTGTTTCGCTGTTTACACCAAAGTAAAAGTTCATTGCCATAAACTTGGCGTACATTCCATATTAGCATTATCCGTCATGTAACTGAAACTTTGCTAAGCCTGCACACACGGTCGTGGTGACATACGTTGTGTAAAATTGTTGACAAGTTGTGCTCGGGTTCAGTAAAAGCACTGCATTATGTGTCTCCCGACTGTAGAGATTTGTTGGTTTTCTGTGTGGCAACCGAAACACAGGTTTTAACCGAGGTATGGGTTGAAATAGACTAACGCTTAGTCCCTGAATATATAGAATATTGATAGTAACAAATAAACCCATTTAAATTGAAAAGGAGCCCCAGTGAGTTGGGAACCTGAGGAAATCTAGACTTGCTTCATTTTGGGCTTTAGCATTGCAGAGAGGACTGGGCATTAAGAAAATAATGTGGTTCAGGGACTGTGAGAGAAACTAGGGTCAAAAAGTTTCCCCAATCAGCTGAACAGGTGTTCGCTAACAAGTGGAGAATATACGATTGACAAGACCCCATTTAGTTTGATAGATGGAGTTAAGCATCGCTTTCAACATGATTCTAATCATAAAGCGAACAATATGCAAATGCATGTGGGTTATTTACCAATTTGGAATGTTTATAATGGTAGACCCTAGAGCTACCATGCCCCAGGCTAATATGGATACACCACTCAAGCACAGTATTCGTGTAAAAAGGATTAGCCGTGGCTGACGTGGTATGACGCGGCCGGGGAATAGAACACAGATGACACTCTTGTTTGATAGAGAAGCGAAACATATCAACAAATCTTTTATACATATTTCATTCAGTCTAATTCAGCATGCACACTGTGATATACCCTAAAATAATTGTTCCACAAATCGGAATCACACACAGAATGTGTGCGTATAGGTTGAATAGTATCACCAAACCACGAGTGACAGCACACCCATGCCATAACTGATATACTATCCGAGCACTAAAAATTCGCTTAGCCAAGATAGAAATCTGATTTTTGTAAAAACATACGGCTTGGGAATATTAATTACGTTGTGTCCCGAATTCCCTATCCATTACACAACGCACAAAAGAAACGATTAACCTATAAAATTCGATACCTTCACGGCTCCAAATAGCACAGGGAACCGCCTGGTTGAGCAAGTCGTTACCGGCTAGGATTTCGGATGTCTGAACGTTCATTTAATCCTTATAGGATTTGTGACCATGAAGTTCCCCATCGATGTCACTCATGATGATTCTGGGGGTAAAGTTTCCAAACGTGGTATAAGTGAGGTTAAATGGACGTCACGCTCAAGGTCATTGCAATTGTACAGCTACGTGCTTCCTGAAAAGAAGAAAAGATTTAGAAACCTTCCCGAAATCAACACAGAAGTTGCATGTACATACATGAAAGTATGACGTCATAACGACAATATGAAATGACGTTATCCGGTGTTCATATACAGAAAATAAGACAGATCAATAGGCAACGTTAGGTCACGTTAATAACGGGATAATATATCATGATTGGTTTTCCAGCTATCGTGACTGTAAATAACAATGTGTAAATGTCCTTTAGATTCGTCATTGAAATCATTCAATTTCCGGCTTTTTATATACAACATTTCGGGAGGTATATGTAGATGTAAATTCCTCACCTAATTTCGTTGTACCCGGTTGGTCAGACTCAACTACAAAACATGTAGATGTATACGGTCATGGTAAGATATCAACACGGATGTCCCAACACTGATTATAAGGACGTGGAAAGTGGTCGCCATTGAGAGCGCCAAAATAAAGGACAGCCTCAACCAGCACGAACAGTCCACATGACGCCTCTGTGTGTATTGTACGTGATGTATCATATGCTATCGTAAATGTCACGATGCGTCTCCATTAAGTTTACGTTGTATTTCTCCCCTCATTTTACAGCTTCATTAATGTCTTTATTAGTCAGAATAGAAAAATGTATTGCTTCACATATTTCACCTGCTTAGTAACGTAATGCCATCTTCTTCACATGTAATTGTGGTTTCGGGGAATATATTTATCCCGGTAGTTTTTCTTAGTCGTCTGTGTCTTCGCCGTAATCAGAAACAAACTGAGTCCTTGTGTCAGTATGTGCCACATTAGAATACTCATTTCTGAATCAGTTAATCCGGTTTCTCACATGTTTTGTTTTCACATTTTCTGTATATACTGACTATCATCTTCTATCGCACAGACACCACTCACTCCTTCATACATTTCACCATGTTCTTGTATACTGACTATCTTCTTCTACCACACAGACACCACTCCTTCATACATTTCACCATGTTCTTGTATACTGACTATCTTCTTCTACCACACAGACACAACTCCTTCATACATTTCACCATGTTCTTGTATACTGACTATCTTCTTCTACCACACAGACACATCACTCCTTCATACATTTCACCATGTTCTTGTATACTGACTATCTTCTTCTACCACACAGACACACCACTTCCCTTTCATACATTTCACCATGTTCTTGTATACTGACTATCTTCTTCTACCACACAGACACACCACTCCTTCATACATTTCACCATGTTCTTGTATACTGACTATCTTCTTCTTCTACCACACAGACACACACCTCCTTCATACATTTCACCATGTTCTTGTATACTGACTCTCTTCTTCTACCACACAGACAGACACCATGTGTTCTTGTATACTGACTCCTTCATACATTTCACCATGTTCTTGTATACTGACTCCTCTTCTACCACACAGACACACCACTCCTTCATACATTTCACCATGTTCTTGTACCATGTTCTTCTATACTGACTATCCTTCATTTCACCTATCCTTCACAGACACATCCTTCTCCATGTTCATACTGACTATCTTCTTCTACACATTCCTTCACATTTCATGTTCTTGTATACTGACTATCTTCTTCTTTCTATCACACAGACACATCACTCCTTCATACATTTCACCATGTTTCTTGTATACTGACTATCTTCTTCTACCACACAGACACATCACACTGTTCTTCATACATTTCACCATGTTCTTGTATACTGACTATCTTCTTCTACCACTATCTTCTTCACACACACATCACTCCTTCATACAGTTCACCATGTTCTTGTATACTGACTATCTTCTTCTACCACACAGACACATCACCCCTTCATACATTTCACCATGTTCTTGTATACTGACTATCTCTCTTCTTCTACCACACATACTGACACACACAGACACTCCTTCCATACATTTCACCATGTTCTTGTATACTGACTATCTTCTTCTACCACACAGACACATCACTCCTTCATACATTTCACCATGTTCTTGTATACTGACTATCTTCTTCTACCACACACAGACACATCACTCCTTCATACATTTCACCATGTTCTTGTATACTGACTATCTTCTTCTACCACACAGACACATCACTCCTTCATACATTTCACCATGTTCTTGTATACTGACTATCTTCTTCTACCACACAGACACACCACTCCTTCATACATTTCACCATGTTCTTGTATACTGACTATCTTCTTCTACCACACAGACACCACTCCTTCATACATTTCACCATGTTCTTGTATACTGACTATCTTCTTCTACCACACAGACACATCACTCCTTCATACATTTCACCATGTTCTTGTATACTGACTATCTTCTTCTACCACACAGACACATCACTCCTTCATACATTTCACCATGTTCTTGTATACTGACTATCTTCTTCTATCACACAGACACATCACTCCTTCATACATTTCACCATGTTCTTGTATACTGACTATCTTCTTCTACCACACAGACACATCACTCCTTCATACATTTCACCATGTTCTTGTATACTGACTATCTTCTTCTACCACACAGACACATCACTCCTTCATACATTTCACCATGTTCTTGTATACTGACTATCTTCTTCTACCACACAGACACACCACTCCTTCATACATTTCACCATGTTCTTGTATACTGACTATCTTCTTCTACACAGACACACATTCACACTTGTATACTCACTCTTCTATACATTTCACCATGTTCTTGTATACTGACTATCTTCTTCTACCACACAGACACACCACTCCTTCATACAGTTCACCATGTTCTTGTATACTGACTATTTTCTTCTACCACATATACACATCACTCCTTCATACAGTTCACCATGTTCTTGTATACTGACTATCTTCTTCTACCACACAGACACATCACTCCTTCATACATTTCACCATGTTCTTGTATACTGACTCTCTTCTTCTACCACACAGACACCACTCTTCTTCATACATTTCACCATGTTCTTGTATACTGACTATCTCTTCTTCTACCACACAGACACACACACTCCTTCATACACCATGTTCACCTTCTATGTTCTTGTATGTTCTGACTGACTCTTCTTCTTCTACCACACAGACACATCACTCCTTCATACAGTTCACCATGTTCTTGTATACTGACTATCTTCTTCTACCACACAGACACCACTCCTTCCATACACATTTCACCATGTTCTTGTATACTGACTATCTTCTTCTACCACACAGACACACCTCCTTCATACTCCTTCATGTATACTGACTATCTCTTCTACCACATGTTTCTACAGTTACTGACTATCTGACTTCTTCTTCTACCACACAGACACATCACTCCTTCATACATTTCACCATGTTCTTGTATACTGACTATCTTCTTCTACCACACAGACACCACACCTTCCATACATTTCACCATGTTCTTGTATACTGACTATCTTCTTTCTACCACACAGACACATCACTCCTTCATACAGTTCACCATGTTCTTGTATA